CCATACAATGAGTGTCAGTGGGGCTCAATGTTATTTTTGACCCCACTGACTTTCATTATACAGACAAAAACAGTTGAAGCAGTTGTCCAAACATCTTATTTTGTGTTCTACAGAAGAACAAAAGCTATAAAGGTTTGGAACAACATTGGAGTGAGTAAATATTGTTTACAGACTTTTCATTTTTGGTGAACTGTTCCTTTAAGACACACAAGTGGGAGAGAAACAGATTTTCAGAGCTCAATCCTTCACTCACCTAGAGAAAGCTATTTGATTCTTGACAATATGTCACATCTTTCAGATCATGTCACTACCCCTGTTATAGCAAGAGAGAGACTGTCAGGGTCTGTTGGACCCTACGCTGAGCAGAGAGATTGGAGAAGATGGAGAAATAGCTGGGCAAATCACAGCATATTTTCCCTTTGTGAATTAAAAACTCCCCTATTTAATCTCTTCTGAGCGAACTTTGAGGTTAAGCTGGTGCAGATGAGTAATAATGTGGATGTGAGGATGTCAAATGTGGCTTTAGAGATGTTGTCAGATCAAAGTGTGGTGGTCGGTGTCGAGTGAGGGTGCAGTGAAGTGTAGAGATATTACTTGAACAAGGTTGTTGAAAATATAACAGGAAGCTTGGCTGGTTGAATCGAACTTTGGCCATGTGGCTTCATTTAACAAGCTTCCCTCGTGTAACAGAAACAGGGCCTTGATAAGAAGGGGAACTAAACAACTAGAGACTAATAGCATAATAGTGATTTTATTGTGGATAAGGGGTGTTTTGTCCTGGACATGTACTGTACTGGCAATAATAATAAAATATACCAATATTTAATAAATATATAATTAAATGTTATTATTTAAATTAATTTTATAAATTTTTTATTGCAGTACCATTCAAAGATACAGTTTCCGTATGATATTTAACAAATAATAATCATAATAATATTTGTATTCAACAAGGATACATTCAGTTGATCAAAAGTGACAGTAAAGACATTTACAATGTTATAAACATTTCTATTTAAAATAAATGCTGAACTTTAAACTTTCATCAAAGAATCCTGAAAAAAATTGTCACAGTTTCCACAAAAATATTAAGCAGCACAACTGTTTTCAACTGATAATAACAAAAAAAATGTTTCTTGAGCAGCAAATCAGCATATTTTTTACTGTATTCTTATTCAAATAAATGTAGCCTGAGTGAGCATAAGAGATTTCTTTCAAATGAGTATGAAATTTCAAATGAAATTTACTTTTTAATGAGTAATAAATGTAACATATGACTTCAAATGTAAGCAGTTTACAGTAGTCAAGTAATGCATCAACTTTTGCAACAGCTTTGAACATGGATGATCCAATCAGATTGTAGGATCCGAGCTGTCAATTGTACAAAGAACGATCATATATTGTTCCATGTTTTATATTTTGACACTCTTCAAACATTACCAGAACTGAAGAGTCAGATTTTCTGCTCCAGTTCATCAGTCTGCAGCGTGTGTGTAGCATTTTGTGTTTGAGAGTGAGTGTGCAGCGCACAGGCACTTTAACTTGACAGCCTGAACTCACACTCTTATTAAGTGGGGATTTGAGCCGCGAGACAGGCCTGTGGTTCTCTGTTTTTGGGTAATGTGATGTGAGAGACACGGACAAATGCAGTAATGTCCATCAGAAGTGTCTGCGTAAGGCCTTCAGTGATGTACTCTCACATGGCAACACTGAGTTGACATGCACAGCCTGCAACATGAGATTATGTCTGGCCTTTTGCAAACATCAGTAATGCCGCTCCAGCTCAAAGTGCCTGTATCTCTAGCATTAAGAAAGCATTTGGAATCATAAACCCATATGCAAAGTGTGTCTGCAAGATTTGATCTGAGGCTTTGGCTGTTCAGGCTGATTTGTTACTGGATTGTTTTTGAATGATTTTCTATTTATTTTTCTGAGGCAGTCTAATTTCTTTAATGCCGTCCTGAAATTCCGAAACCTTTTAGCAGTAAACCATCTGATCAAAGCAAATCAGTCTTTAAGAAACGGGGTCAGATTGGGATTTGATCTAATGCAGTCCACTATGGCACCGAGCAACATTTTTCTCTCCTTGTTTCTTGATTTATCTGAATGCTTCCAATCATTCCTTCCAGTCAGACGTCCCATTCCTCTATTGAATTACACTGTGGCATAGGCTAGATCCTGCTTAACCGACTTACTGGCTTATTGAGGAAGCATAGCTAATGTCTCATATTCATGGGGTTATATTAAGGAAAGCTCAATTCATAGTAAATCTGTGGTCAGGTATTGTGGGTGGTATGAGCAAAATCTTATTTCATGCTATGAGTATTTTATATTAAGGTAACGGCATATATAAGATTGCTGGAAATTCTTTTTTTTTTTCTGTAAATTCAAACCAATATGTCTGATATTTAAGCATGGAATGTAGTAATGCCTATTTTTGTATAATCTCATTTGAATAATTTGTGGAATGTATTTAGGACACAAAGCCATTAAATAGTTTGGCCTCAGTCGTGTTTTTTTTTTTTAAAGAAATTAATACTTTTATTTAGCAATGAAGTATTAAATTGATCAAAAGTGACAGTAAAGACATTGGATTTTATTCTATTTAAAAAAAATTCAGTTTGAAATAAATGCGATTCTTTTTAACTTTCTATTAATCAAAGAATCCTAAAAAAATGGTTTCCACAAAAATATTGCACAGCACGGCTGTTTTCAACATTGATAATATTGGGAAATGTTTTTTTGTGCATCAAACATTTTCTTGTTAACATCTCTGAGACTGTGTAATTGATCTGGCTCACAAATGTTTTATAGACATCCAATACAAAAGGCAAAGTCTTTAATGGCTGGTGCTAATCCAGCATCTACAGTATATGAATCTTTAAAAGTGTTTTTTAACTTAACTGAAAATCAGAATCCGACACTTTGTTTCTCAGCTGTAATTACACAAAAAGCAAACAAAGCAAAGGGCTCATTTAGCTGTGATGATGAGCCAAGGGGTGATAATGAGTTTTTGATAAAATGCTCCATTAGGGTGCATTATTTTTCATAACATCTTGAAGAATTTAAACATTTATAATGTTATTAGCACAGCATTCATCTCTTGTGTAAGAATGTGAATATATTGTAAAAGTCATGTGTGTGGGTTTAGGTGATGAAGTTGAGGAAGTTGGCCCAGCAGATTGCGAACTGCAGACAGTGTTTGGAGCGCTCGAGTGCCCTCATCACACAGGCTGAGCACAGCTTGAAGGAGAACGACCATGCCCGCTTCCTCCAGACGGCCAGGAATGTGGCTGAGAGGTGAGCGCACACACACACACACACACACATCCCGTCACTGCCTCTGGCAGCCTGAATTTAACTTTAAGCAACTCTGCACATTTCCCGGTGCCACCGCCTCCATTCAGTTCTGTTGCTTGTGGCTTATATTCAAAATAATACAAAATATGCCTTCAGGACTCAGTATTTAACAATATTTGTGCAACTTTGGGTGTGGAGAAAGACTTTGCGGTGTTGTGTGTTTTACAAAATAAAGGTCTATGTGCATTGCCGGCACATTTATTTGCATTGGTGACGCAATGACCAAGCTGTGACTTTTCTGGTGCTATTATAAGCGTATCATAAGCCTGTATTGGCAAGCAATTAATGTAAACACAGTCGGTTTGTCTTATGTACATGTAAACAGGTTCAAAAACAGGATGGATCTGTGTTGCAATATCAAGTCTGTGCATTAGGCAGTCTAAATGCAGTCTAATACACCTGATGCTGGCTAAATAATAATATGAAATAATATTAATCAAACAACAATATTATCAAGAAAGAAACGAATCACTTTTTTTCTTTATTATTGACTTTTTACTTGAAAAAGTTTATATAAAATTGTTTTTATATAAAATAACAATTTAATAATTCTATATAAATATTTTATATATTTTTATAAAAAGAAGGGGAAAAAACTACTCACTGCTCTTATTGTATTTTTTTCTTTATTATTGATTTTTTACCTAAAAACTTCTACCTAAAATTGTGTTTTCTTAATGAAATGACAACTGAATAATTAAGTATATGTAAAAAATATTTTGTATTTTTATTTAAAAAAAGAGAAAACAACTTACTGTTTTTTTCCTTATTACTGACCCTTTACTTAAAAACTTCTAAATTCTAAAAACAATATTTCCTTAATTAAATAACAATTTAATGAATGAATTATATATAGTATTATATGTATAAATACTTTATATATTTTTATAAATATATTACTAAATACACTAAAAAAATTAAGCCTATTTTTCAAGATTTACACAATTTAATGAATAGTAAAATTAAAATTGAATTGAATAATCCTTATGTATTTTAATTGAATAGTTGATTAAGGATAATTCAATTAAAATAGGTAAGGATTATTCAATTTGATTGCATTTGATGGAATTTTACTATTAAATTGCATAAATCTTAAAAAATGGCTAACATTTTTTTAGTGTAATAGACCAATAATTGAAGTCTACATGTCATCATTTTAAAATATAATTAATGTTTTTAAGTATATATTAATCGTTGTTATTTTTTAATTAATATATACATTTTTATGAGTGTTTTATTGAGTTTTGCTGTGGCATCAGAAATTTTATCAAGAACCTTGACATTTCCGTGGTTTTGGTAGAAACTACTGAAATTCTGCTCTCATGGCATCCTTACTAACTGTACAGTCTTCTGTATTATTTGAATTTCATGTGCCACACACATTTCTCTGGGTTTGAGCGCTGCCAGATGCTGTTTATAATTTCTGTCACTGTGGGTGAAATCACATACAGTCTTATAGCCTGTAAATAGACTGTTGTAAATAGAAACATTTATAAATTAATTGCCAGTGCCTCTCTTTCCTCCCAGAGTTGCCATGGCCACCGCCTCCTCCCAGGTCCTCATCCCAGACGTCAATCTGAACGAGGCTTTTGACAATTTTGCCCTTGATTTCTCCAGAGAAAAGAAAATTCTGGAAGGACTGGATTATTTGACAGGTAAAACCAGTGAGAAAACTGAAACCATCTTCTACAGGTGCTTTCTGTGTATGTAGTGCAAAGATAATGAATACATGCTGTATCCGGGATATGGCCAGAATTACATCAGCAGAAGTGAATCAATACATCCCGTCTCGACGATTGCCTTCTTTTCCAGCACCCAACCCTCCGTCTATACGTGAAGAGCTCTGCACGGCCTCGCATGACACCGTAACAGTGCACTGGACCTCTGAAGATGAATTCAGCGTCACCTCCTATGAGCTTCAGTACACCATCTACACTGGCCAGACCAACTTCATCAGTGAGTCTAAATACACACCTTGCACAGCTTGCTATCTCACTCTTTTCCATGAAACCTTCATTTATATCTTATACTTGAATGCTTCTCAGCTGGTTTTGCTTCTGTTCACAAACTTTACATTAGACATCAAGTGGTGACCCAACACAGTACCAACATTTGTGTCATTCAAATGTAAACATGTTCTTAATTTTATCAAGAACTGCATAAGCCCATCAATTTGAAAAATCAATAAATAAAAATATCAACATAGGCTTTACATAGGAACAATTTGTAATTTTATCAAAAAATAAAACATATAGGACACATGGATGTGACTGTGACTTTTTTCAGTTTATTTTAATTTAATTAATTTTATTTTTATTTTCATTTATTTATTTATCTTTTACTTAATTTTTACTTTTATTATTTTTAATTAATAATATTTTATTCGAATTTTTATAATATAATATAATACACACTCTTTTTAAATGAATCTCTTATGTTCACCAAGGCTGCATTTATTTATCAGAAATACAATAAAAACAGTAATATTGTGAAATATTATTGCAGTTTACATGTTTTCTATTTTAATATACTATGTAATGTATTTTACAAAGCCACATGTTTAGCAACCATTACTATTATAAATGCTGAAAACAGCTGTATTTTTGTGGAAAATCATGGATTTTTTTTTACATTGTTTTTACATTGTCGTAACTGTCTCTTTTGATCAATTTAATGTATTCTTTTCAAATAAGAGTATTCTTTTTTTTTTGTGTAATCTTACTGACCCCAATCTTTTGAACAGTAGTGTATATAATTTTATTTTCAATTTATTATTTTCATTCAGCATTTTGTTTAATAATTTTGCATTATTTTGAAGCGCCCTAACTACACCGATAAAAATTTTCCAAAGGAATCATAGAATTTTTTGAACACCTACATGTTCCCCTATACCTTTTGTTTTGTTGGAGCACTTAAGTCTAGCTTTTATGGATCTGTGGAGTGAAAGCGCTCTTAAGGCTTAATTGCTTAAAGGCCAGTAAAGCACTCTGACATACATAACTTGTTTGGGCTTGGACAGTACAGATACAGCATTTTCCTCTCACTCTCTCACTCACAGACCTGCTCCTCAGTTTCCATTCAGCCGGCTTCGGTAACAAACACGGTATATTCATTTCAACTGCTGATAGTTTAGAAGCCCCGAAACATCTACAGAGCTACCACAGGCTCCTTAGAGGATACAAACAAACAGACACAGAAATGGAGAGCAATGCTTTCTTCCCAGACCTTTTTACAGCATTGCTCTTTGAATGCGGATGCCTAAACGCTGCAATTCTTAGATGCGTATGCTTCGCTCCCTTGAGATGAAATGTGAGTCTTTGCTGGTGCATTTTCTCAGCCGTTGGCCAAGTCAGGCAAAGTGGCTCCAAAAAATACTCCAGCCCTGCAGTCAGGATCTATCAGCTGTAGATGGATTTCCTTCTATGAAGAAGTTCAATCACATTTAGTTTCAAGGCATTTTTAATGGAATAATGTTTGTATATTGTTTTGGTTTTTTTTGCATTTTATCATTTATCATATTTGCTGGCCAGTGAAATTGATGTCTTGTTTTATGTTCCCTTTAGCAAAAGTGTATTACATTTTGCAAGCCTCTCATAGCAAAAGCATCATTTTCAAGGGCTTAGGCTGAATAACATGCAGGATCTTTTTCATGATGCTCATTTATTGCGATCCGTCAGTTTGTATGCCAATACCAAGCCTTTGACATATAAAATAACAGTCATATGCTATGTAAAAATCTATACATTTCCCCTGCAGTGCAATCAAGTCCAATATATGTAATTGCACAGCTGCCATGACTGGAAAACCAACCTTTTGTGATCAATTAAACGTGCCCAGAATTCATATGCACCAGCCAAAACTCAAGCTAATAGAATACATAAGCTGTAAAATGGACTTTAAAACAGGAAAGCTTCTTTGCTTTGTAGTTCGTGGGCAGAGTCGTTCGAGGTTCTGTTGAAAGAGCAACTCCGGTTTGTCTGCGGACTTTATCGTCAGCTCTGTGAAAGTGAGGGCACTGGCCTGGCATCAGCCCTGATTAGATCTGACACAAGCTAATGCTCTTTGCTCCGCGCTCATTGTGACATTGATTGATAGTGATACAAGCCGGCGGACTGGCATGCTAACCTGCAGCAAACAGTATGCAAATGCTGCTGTCCTTGCAGAGGAAACGGGCCACATCAACTAATCTGACATGCGCACCTCTTGCTCAGGGACTTGTGCCGTGACTCATAGGCAGTTTATGGAAAACGGGAGAGTCGTGGATGTTACAGGGGCCAGCAAACACATGGCCGAACACAACTGCAAAGCTGACAGATGAGTGAGGTCAGACCAGTCTAACAAAAGACCCTATTGTGTTCATCTGACTCTGTGTGTCTGTTTTCCAACAAAACTCTTGTTCATTTGATAATGTGTGTCCCCACAAAACACTAGCTCAATGTGCCGTGCAACCTTGAGAACACCAACAAATCTTATATATAGACAAACCCACGCTGAGAACAGTGAGAGTGTGTTGACAGAGCTGGTAGTCAGCTATTGTATGTAATATCAGTTAGTCAGAAATTAAAGGGATATTTTCTTTTCTCTGTGGAACACAAAAGAAGATATTTTGAGAAATGTTTTAGTGTGTTTTTTTTTCTCCATACAATGGAAGTCAGTGGTCACCAAAATTGCTTGGTCCTGTCCTTATATTCTATTTATATTTTGCTCTTTTTTTTGTATTTATATTATATCTGTGTATCTGGTTGTGCCTTATTTATTTTCAGAGATAAGTATTGTTGATTTTGTAGCTCATATGAATTGGTTTTAATGAAGAAACTGCACTCAGCTCAGACACATAATAAAGGCGTCTAAAAATCTATTCTAAGGACAAATTCTGAGACCTTGTCTCAGACGACCACCGGGACAAGACCACAGGAACCAGATGAGTCCTCTGCACAATGTGACTTTGCTGCAGCCTGGAATTGAACTGCTGGTTTCGTCTGGTCAGAGGAGAACTGGCCCCCCGACTGAGCCTGGTTTCTCCCAAGGTTTTTTCTCCATTCTGTCACCGATGGAGTTTTGGTTCCTTGCCGCTGTCGCCTCTGGCTTGCTTAGTTGGGGACACTTCATTTCCAGCGATATCGTTGACTTGATTGGAAATGATTGCAAAGATACTATTTAAACTGAACTGAGCTGGATGATGATATCACTGAATTCAATGAATGTCTTTAACTGAAAAATGAGTGTTTACTATTGTAATTTTGCATTATTGACACACTATTTTCCTAATTAATGCTGTTCAGTTGCTTTGACACAATCTGTATTGTTAAAAGTGCTATATAAATAAAGGTGACTTGACTTGACTTGACAAATGTTGATTTAAAAAAAAAAATCTTAAACCTCTATATTTGAGGTCAATCTACTGTGTTAAGAAGGCAAACTGAAACTGGTTTTAGCTTCTTCACAGTTTGTTGGTCCAGTAATGCACCTTTAAGATTTTTTAGACTGTTTTTGCAACTGTTATAGAAAATGTAATCTTCCCTGTCCGATGTTGGAATGACATTCAGCTGTTTTCACAATGTTTATGATTTAGAATGGATGTAAATCTGCTCTTGAGGTTTATCAGATGTTTTTACCCAGATATTAAACAAATCATTCCTGGATGTGTTCTAGCTGTGCATGATATAGTAACAGTAACAATAATAGTAATAAAATAATACATCTTTTTTATATTAGTATTATATTAATATTTTTATTGTCTAGTAACCATTTGGCGGGGGAAACTGTAAGGTACTCGAGCCAGTGCTATATTTTGAATATAGTCATGGCTGAAGGGAATGTAGACACTACCAACTATTTCTAGCCCTCTTAAAACCCTTTTAATACACTACCATTCAAAAAAAAAATTGTATAAATTAATATTGTTATAAGGCAAGGTTGCTTAAAATTGATCAAAGGTGACAGCAGAGATATTTATAAAAGATTTCAAAAGGATTACAACAACAAAAAAAACGTTAAAAAATCTTAAATGAAAAAAAAGGGCTGTTATTGTCAAATTTCCACTCATCAAAGAATCCTAAATGCCTAGAAGTGGAAAAAAAAAAGCTGGCCCTCTGGTGGAGCACAGCCTTGTTCAATGGTCACCCAGCATTCCATGCCTGGGCAGACACTGAAAAGGTACCTGATGACCTGCCTGGATCTGCCTGGTGCTCGGAGCAGTTCACCTGTCTCTTAAAGGGGGCATAACACACACAGTTTCACCCAATCTCATGTTAATCTTGAGTACCTATAGAGTAGTACTGCATCCTTCATATCTCCAAAAAGTCTTTAGTTTTATCATATTTATAAAAGAAAGATACAGATTTACGATTCTCTCCGGAAAAAGATAGAACTTTTTAAAAATTATAGAACGGTATTCAAGTGTAGTGCACGTTATGCTTTGCCCACTTTTGATGCGTGCACGGGTGCATTCTTCCAGGAGAAATGTCCATATAAGGAGTTCCACCCTCGTTTACGTTATTAAGAGCCACGATCGAAAAAAACTCTCCGAAACTTGTACGAACCCGGAAGTAAGATTTTTGGCACAGAAATACTCCGCCATACTTCCAAATAGTTTTTTGAAACTCACTTAAGTCCATCACAAGCATGTTCTCATTCGCATGGACAACATGACAGCCGTGGCGTTCATAAATCACCAAGGGGGTCCCCGTACTCGCCCTCTTCTCATGCTTGTGATGAGTCTGTAGATGTGGGCAGACCAGCACCTCCTGTCTGCTGAGCTGTCTGTCTCCCCAGCCATCTCAATCACAGGGCGGACATACATCAAGACACAGGGCACACGCAGCCATTCTGACATTGATGTCAGTGGGGAGGAATGATTTAGTGATTCGATTTCTATGGGGCATGAGGTGGCTGAACCCCCCTCGCCTGTCAACTACCTCCACTCGGGACCTCGTGTGTTTCCCTTAAGGCAGCGCTATTGCTTGTGCTTGCTTCTGTTAAGCGAGTGGATGATATGCACGCTCTTTCTGTCAGCAAGTCCTATACGGATTTCAACCTATGACTGCAAGTTGTACTTAAACCAAGAAAGGGTTCTCTCAAGAAGGTGCTCTCAATGCCGTTCAGAGCCCAGGTGATATTTCTCTCAGCTTTTACTCAACGGCAACGTGGAGACACCCTCTCAAAAGGGGAACGTCTCTGGTTATTGACGTAACCTCGGTTCCCTGAGAAGGGAACGAGACGTTGCGTTCATGCCGTGTTACTTACGCTCAGGTCTTTCATAAGCTCTCTTATTCAGTCGAAAGAATCTGATGAAATGCCGCGGGTGCGGGCGGTGCTGCGAAAAGGGGCGGGAGCAGGATATGACATCACGCGCCAAGGTTTTCACAGTACACACAACATGGATTCCACTGTGCTTGCCCTGTGTCTGTTGCGACGACAAAGAAAAAAATCACATAAAAATAGTTTCTCTGTTCAAATGTACCATGTGCTCCTGTTTCCCTTGCCACTGCAAACCAAGCCGCTTCTCTTTTAATGTGATTTTTGTAATCTTTTAAAATTGTGTTGTATAAACAGAATGATGCAACACTGCTAGAATTAGCGATTCCTCCATGTTTTAAATTTCTGTACCGAGAGGTCACTTTGTGACGTTTTGATCTTCTATTGGTCTCACACATTCACGTGACGCGAATTTGCAGGTCATAGTTCACCAAACTTGAACTTTGCTACGGAGTGGAATGCGAAATATCTTCGCACGGGCTTGCGTTTCCGGTCTGATTCATTCAAATACGTATGAATGGAAGTCAATGGAAAGAAAAGTGTAGTGTGACTGCGGCTTAAGGCTTCAGTATTTGAGGTGTTCCCCCAATGCATCAGGTTACACTGTCCTCAACGTTTCCTTCCCTTCTCAGGTGGTGCATGCTTATTGGCTCGCTGACGTCGACGAAATTAACCCCTTAGATACTGAAATTTGGTACCGAATGACAAGACATTTTTCCATACTCAATGGTATCGAGGCAATTCGGTCAGTGCCTAAAAAGTATCAAACTCGATACCCAGCCTTATTGTTTTTGCTGTTTTTTTTGTTTGTTTTGTTTTTTTATCAAATAAATGCCCCAAATTGCACTTTTGAGCAATAGTGTATTTACAATATTGCACAACCTCTCGTCCCACATTGCTTAAATATCATGCTTTAAGTTGAAAGCAGCTTTCTGGTTGATGCACTCTCTCACAGACATCTGCGACATGCTTACTAGGTCAATATTCCAGTCCTACTTCCATGATTTATCTTCAGCCTTGATAGTGGATATTTCTCATTGTCACGGACCCGGATGTGTGGAGGCAGGCAGGACGACGAGGACAACAAGAATTCCACTACTCACTTTTAATGTAGACACAACAAGGCAGGTACAGGTAGGTGAAACACACACACTCGGGGTAACATTCACAATAACCGACACCAATGCTCAGACAGACAGGAACTAATAAGGGGTGAATAATTAGAGGCAGACAGGTGAGCACAATGACGGTGATTAACTAATGATTAGACGGGCTAAACCAACACAAAGGGAAGAAACCACAACAAACAGTCCACAGGGGCGTTACACTCATCCTGTATCTGAAGTGAATTTCAAAGCACCATCATTGAGCAGGTAATCACAGGACAGGTCAGCTAGGCATTGATTAAGTGTCATATTATTTTTGCATGATGGCGTTGGCCATCGTAAGAAGGTGGATCGTGATGCAGGGTTTCTATTGCTTTTTAGTGGTTACTGCCAAAGCCAAGGTCTTCGTATCTTAAGATATTCATAAGCTGGGCTTTGGAGAGCTGCCCAAGAATGTGAATGTGAAATGAAGACACAGTCCACAGTGGCCACCGATCAGAAGTGAGACATTATTTCAGTGAATGTAACCGTATGTTTTTGCGGCTGTAGGAAAATGCATTCATGTGGAATCATAACACATGCACATACTGTCCATACTCTTAACATATCCGGATTAATTCTTCTTACTATGTGTCCCATTGGCATTGATGACATCTAAACACATGCACAGTCATTGAAACACACACACACACACACAATAGAAGCATCAAAGGCTAGTTTGGATGTGCCGACAGTATTGGGAGCAGCCCTGTTCCAGTTTTGTGTTGTAGCTCCCTTTCATCTGCCAACACACACACTCACTTATGCACAGTCTAGGATCCCTATTCACCCTGCCTTCTTTTTAGCCAATGACACATACCTTCATCTGGCCCTCTTTGAAGTCTCTCTCCCTCTGAATGTCAAGCAACAGCAGAGAATTTACAATGTAAGCAGCATATTGTAGTCTGCTATGCTAGTTCCATTCATCAAACAACATCAAACGCCTTTTTTGATATGGACGTGGATCAAATGACGTTCTTACTCATGAAAAAATATTAGAGACATGCAGATGGTGGATGCGAATGGTTAATACTTGATAAGCTTTGTTTTTTCATCCAGATGTTGTACTTTTTATTCACTTGAATACTTAAAGATATAGTATTCAGTAGCCAGTCTCCCTTCTCTGCTGAATGCGATATATCCGCTCAACCAATCACAGCGCACCATTCCACGCACTGTAAACAGTAACAACCAATCACAGCGCACCATTCCACGCACT